TAAAATATTTGGCTTTTATAGAAATCCAAGGAAAAAGAAAAGTATTAATGGATGGCTTTGTGATTCAGGTTTCAGTGTGATTCACTTCTGCTCATTAATGTTGGGCTACAATCTTGGCAGAAACAATGCACTCCATCAGCCTCCTGCAAGTCAGAAATTGGATTTAATACCACTTAGTCTGTCTGGCCAGTTAAAATCTCAGGAGTTCACATGCACTTAAAAGAGTAGGCAACATTTTTCATAAATATCAAGATTTTTCGAAGTCGTGTTCACTAGAATATCCTGTCCTGATCCCCTGAGTGTACTGTGTTGTGTACTGACTGTCCCTTGCCCTCCCTTGGCCCACTGATGTACCAGTTAGTAGCTGCTGGTTATGAATTTGTTAACAGGTAATAACTATTTTGTTTATTATCTATGTTGTTGATTAAAAAAAAAAAAAGTAGGTTCAAAATCCAGAAGGTGTTACTCAACCAGGTAGAAGTCTACTGCAAAAAAATGGTTACAAAATTCAGTACGAGCCTCTCTTTCCAAAATGTGTGAAGAGGTTGTAAGGAGTGGTCTGTGCTTGCTGTTTTACACTACTTTAATGAAAAGATGCTCAATAAAAGCCACAGAAGACTCTATCACTTAATAATTTTTATTCTCCTTGCTTCTATTTCTTGCAGATAATTATTAAAAAGTGCTTTTAGAGCAGATGACCTGCATAAAAACGTGAGTGGAAATAGTAAACATCACAGAATTCTTCTGCCAGCTGTCTAAAATGCAAAATTTATTTGGAGAAACTGAAAAAGGGGAGCATTCATTAGCTTCCTGAGTGTGAGAGATTTTACCTAAGTCCTTCAGCAGAATGAGGTGACTGTGAAGCTAGCTGCTTTCCCACAACGGAAGAGAGAAGCTGAAGCTGGGAAGAAAAAAGAGCTCGACAGCCCCGTGCTAAAAATGCGTGTGTCTGTGCCGCACAGTGCCGCGGCTGCAGCATGGCCACATCCAATTACTTTGTGGTCATTCCACTGAGCTTTTCTGGGTGCACCCAGACTAGCAAAAAACTGGTGAGATTTCTCATTTCAAGCCTTACAAGGACAGATGTTTATTAAACAAAAAACAAAAAAAAACCAACAAAACTGGAAAAGGTTGGGTGCATGTGCCACCACTACTGTTGGGCCTCCGTGTAAAAATCTGAGTGGAAAATTAGAAATGCATTTTTCTTCAGTCTTTCATTTAGGTAATACAAAGTCTCCCTAATTGTTTCTGTGGCACCTAATTTGTGCTGAAGTAGGACTGTGAGAGTGTTATCCCTCAGGGAGTAGGGATCGTCATGAAAATGAGATGTGAATCTTGTCAGGCTGCCTGGCGTGTATGAAATTTTAACTAGATAAGTCCCGGTTCGACGAATTTTGTTAGAACTGCTGAATAATAACTGCAAAAAGTTCTGGAAGTTGATTTTTCCTGCTCTGATAGCAATTGTAATGACTTAAGATTAATTTTAGCGTTAAAGAAAGATAATTGCGGTACTTAAAACCCTGAGGCAAATCGGTGGAGATGCTTTGGAAAGGATAATTATACCTGCACGAGGACAACTATCTGTTTAATGGCAGTAACTGGTCCAATTAAAGGGAAGTGGAGGAAGGGCCAATTTGTTACTTTTTTTAACTATTCCCTGAAAAAGTGGTTTCAATGTGCTGGCTCAAGGCGCTGTGGGATGGGCTGCAGCAGAGCTTTCTCAGGGCTCGCCTGCTCCAGCCTAACTGGGGAGCTGTGTGGTTTTAAGGATAGGTGTGGGAACTGACGTGTGGGCACACACACCAGGCAACTGCAGGGGTTTTGCGTCAATGTGTTGGAGAACATGTGCTTGCCTATGTAAAGAGACATGGATTTTACCAGGGGGAAGAGAGTTTAAGAGGGTTTTAAACCTCCTGTGGATCCCTATGTTTCATGTAGTTGCCGTAGCGCTGGCACTGCTTCCAGCACTGCCTTGAGTGGTTAAACACGTTGGAACTGAAAGGCCAGAACTCGCTTTGCACAGCTCTGTGAAAGAAAAGGGCAGCGCTGTCCTCTTCAGAGTTGTAGGACAGACACGGGCGTTTTTGAAGTGGTCATTTTGGGCAGCCCTTCGTGAGTCAGAGTTGCAGAACCTAAGTTAGGCGACAGACAGCTGTACCTTTGCTAAAGCAAGCCTGCCGCCTCTTACAGAATCCAGGTAGGGAATAGCACCAGGGCCCCCTGCCATGTCCACTATGGTTTTATTTCTGCATCTGCCCACAGATAGATGCAGACATATTTGTACCTACCAAGTATTAAAAGGACGTTCCAAACCAAACCAATCCCCTGAGCACGTGTATGCCTGAGCAGAGCCCACAGAGACTGATCCAGCATTGACATTAATCCCATTGCCCAGGAACACTGCCTGAAAGCTTTCAGTCAGTGCTTCCTAGAACGTAAAACTACCCCCAGTATCACCACACTGATCCCACTGCAAAGAGAATAAAGCCTAATTATTTAAATCGTAGAATCGTAGAGAGATTCGATTTGGAAGGAACCTTAAAGACCATCTCGTTCCAACTCCCCTGCCCTGGGCAGGGACACCTCCCGCTGGGCCTGGCTGCTCAAAGCCCCGTCCTGCCTGGCCTTGAACAAACAAGGGGATACAATGAACAAACACACCATTACAACAGGATGATGTAATCAGGAAAAGGATAATTAGGAATTTCAGAGTTAGAAATTTCTAAATTAGAATGAGTAATAAGAAGGATTTCAATTTTGCAAAATCAAATGCTGACTAAGTAGTATTTTCTCCTTTCCAGCGGGAACATCAGCAGTGGACAGAAAGTCAAACAAGCTGAACATCACGGACTGTTACAGTGAAATACTTGCTCTACCATGTGCAAAAAATACATTAATATATAGCCCGAGAGGTGGTATGACTGGAGCAGCAGGAGAGAAATGAGTACTCAGCAGGAGCGATGGGTATGTTTGCTTTATTAAAATCCAGATCCTACAGTGGCTTTACATAGCTTTATTCAAGTAGAACAATCTAGTCCAAAGAGAGGTTTTCTGAGCTCTGCACTGCAATTAATTTTCACATTCTTTTGATTAATTGCAGACGCAAACCTTATCACTCCTATTAAATGACCCTGGTGCATTTCCAGTCCCCTGGCAGCATACTTAGTCTTCTGGTGCTCACCGAGGAAATATCTGACCACATGAGTTTCATGGGGCAGCCCTTTAACGATTAGTAAAAATACAAATGGCACCATGACAGCCTTTCTTCTCAGTCTCAGCTTCCAAAAAAAAAGCATGAGCCGAAGAAAGATGCTGAAACTGTTACCCGTTAAGATTTTTTCCGCATTTAGTAATTCTTGCCTCTCCTAATCAAAATTATGCCTGCATGTTTATATTCTCCTTGAATATAAAATCTCATCGTTCACCTTGAGAATATATTTTTTCCTAGTGCAGAAATGATAAAAATGCAGTGATTTTAAAAGAATATTGAAAGTCACAGTAGATCCTCAGAAAAGATTGTGCATTTCATGATCTTCTCTGGTGGAAGGACAGCATCAGCCTCTCAAACACGTAGCTCTTCTCAGCTCTGCGTAAGGTAAGAAAGTGGTTAAGAAATGTACTTGTAAAAAAATTATTCTCATCCGGAGAGCTACTCGGCTCCAGATTTTTAATTTAATCCATTTCCTATGACTTGGGAAAACTCAGCCTAGGTGTTAAATTCTCACTTCATCTTCTACCAGTATTGATGTACATACTTGACAGAAAAACAACCAGTTTGGACACGTTGCTGTAAGGCACACAATAAATTATAGACCCTGCTCCAAAACTTTTTGAATATATTAATACTGCTGATACACTTGCAGTCCTGTTTTGAATGTAAGCAGCTGAGACTGAAGGGACTTCAGATATCCTTGCTCAGTGCAGAGAATAATACCACCGGTATTTCAACATGTGACAACCAGCATTATTTTCTAGCAAACGTCCTTCATGGTAGATATGACCTCCCAAACAAGGAATGCAGCAGATGCGTAAGTAGCCAAGAAGTCCAGTTCTAGTGGCTTGACCAAATTCCAACTTGGGTAATTACGCTCTGGTCTTAAACTCCCCCTGCAGCGTCACTAGAATAAAGCTCTTTTTCAGCTTGCCCTGAAGCATTGTGTAGTATTTCTGTGACGCTGTACAACACTGAAAAATATCTCCTTCCATTAAAATTGCGGGGGGAATTTAGGTAGACAGAAAGTTTGAATTTGGGCAGAACACCAAGGTTAACTTGCACCTGCGTTGGGATCAAGGGATCTTCGCTGCCTGGGAGTGTCAGACCCTTGTTAAAGAGCACAAGTGGGAAGAGCTGGCTGTGCTGCCTGAATACAAACTCAGCAACTGGGGATGTCTGCACCTGGAAGTGACTGAAGGAATAGTACCTAACAAATGACTGTATAAAAGCCTCTGGTGCTGTAGAATATCTTATCACAACCTTCTTTGGTTATTTAGTAATATTTCTGAAATTATCTGTTGATAAAAAAAAGTTCCAACAACTTTGGGGGAAAAAAACCCACCACCACCACCCCCAAAACCAACACACATTGTAAAAAGAAAAAACCAACTCTTTACCAACAGAAAAGCAGCTGTATAACCCAATTGTGCTAAGGCAAGTATTTGAATTTCAGTAAATATGAAGAAGCACTCAGAGTATTTAAGCAGGCTGAACGAGTCTTGCAGTACTAGTGAAAGCATTCTGCATTATGCAAAACAGACAGCTGTAACACTTGTCTTACACTCTAACTGGGACTCTTTTAAAATACTTAAGTAACTGATTCCCAAATTAGTTTATACCTTAAACAAAAAAAAAGTCATTCTTACTAAACTAGAATAACTTATAACAGTCACTGTACAAATTCCTGTAGAAAGGAAAAATCCTCTCCAAATCCGCATGCAGACGCCGAGTCTGTTTGCTATTTGTACTTTTTTTTTCTTCCTCTTGCTGCAGTTCTTCTTTCAGATCAGGGCAGCTGTGAGCTTGGTGCTCTTATTTCATCCATTTCTTTAATCTCAAATTTCTCATAATTTCTTGTCCGCAGCCATTTCAGAATAACCAGGACAGTGATGCCCACGCTAGCAGTCAGTATCACCGTTGTCACTACGGCACTGACGCCAGTAACCAGTTGTCTCATGTGAAACTCTGGAGGTTTGTCGTCAACATAGTAAATCCGTAATTTTTCAATATCCAAAGCATCTCCATTGACAGAGATAGTTAATGGACTGTTAGAATGAAAGATGGAGTCATCTCTTACATCTTTTTCGAAGTAATAGGCTACATCAGCTATGTCTACATCGCACCTAGATTTCTCGTGCTGGTTCAGGTGGATTTGGATGAGTGGGGGATCGTACTTGATGTCTGTGATGTACCTGGGGTGCAGTTTGTATCGGCTCTCAAACAGATGATTCAGGGCGGCTGCTATATCGGGAACATCGAAGGCACTGGACCTTTTTTTGTGCCTCAGTTCAATGCAGATCCAGCTCGTTCTAACCAGTTTGTCGCAGCTCAGGCTTTTGTCACCTTTTTCGGTTCTTCTAATTCCGGCAGTGTTCACACACCAGCAAGTATCGACTTCACTGCACTGCTTAGGTTTGAAGATCCCACTGTCCTCACAGTCTGGACTGTAAATGCCATCGGTATCTAACAGCCAATGGGTTTGGGCCTGGAAGCTCTTCTCCTTCAGGGGCATCATTTCTGTCTTCATCAGCAAGCATTTGGAAGTCAGCGTTGAACAGTCGACCTTGCGATTTGAACCTACCAGCGTGCAGGTGCAGTTCTCAGGTCCATCCTGGGCACATACTGCCCACTTGTTGGTCGCACAGGTACAGTTGTTCTGCGCCGATGAGGCCACCGCCAGAATGAAACCCATCAAAACCCCAACCAGAGGCTCCATCGTGCAAGTGACGAGCGTGGATATAGTCTGGAGTGGTGGCAGGTGCTATCGAATGCTTTAAATCCCTTCGTGGAGTCTGCTTGTTTCTACAGGCTGGTGTGCGGCTCCTTTCATCAAGTTTCACATCAGACCCACCAAACAGGTTCTCCTTCCAAAACAACTGGCATCTCGTACCCAAATTGAGAAGATTGAGAAGATAACAAGCTGCAGGTTTATCTCTTATGGGGAGTGGCACCAGAGCCTGCCTCAAGCTGCCTGCCATCCCTCTTGCTATGTGAGGCAATGGGAGAGAGAAAAAAGCCGAGCAGAAGCACAGCTCCTGCCTTGGGTTTCCCTTAAGGATTAGAGCACAAGCAGCTTGCCCTTTTTCTTCTTTAGACTCTTTATGGACTGTGCAAATGTTTAATGAATTTCTTTTTAAGGAATTTCTGTTGGAAGAAATTCTACTCGTCCGCTTCCCTCATGGTTTTTCCTGTGTCTTCTGTCACACAGCTTCTGTATCATTCTACTGTCTACATTCTTACCAGTTACGGACTTCCTCCTCTCTACTTTCATATATTTATAAAGGAAAGCCTTCTGAAATTTGCTGCGTGCTGCCTGGAGTAGCTGCCAATTCAGGAGGAACAACCTTTCATCATTGTGATGGCTGCTCTCCTACTCAGAGAGCACAGCACACTCGTCTTCCAGCATGGAAAGTTGCGCTTCCCCTCTTTCTGTTGGCAAAGATTCATCCCAAGGCAGCACTAGGAATGATGATTTTCCTTCTTGCGTTACCCTTATGAAGTTGTTAGCCATTTCTTAAGATATTCTTCATTCTGAATTTTGAGCAATGCCCGTTGCAGTACGCTCCAGTAGCTCCCAGTGTCCCATGATCTACAAAGCACAAGTTACCGTTTCCGTGTGCTTTGGTATCAACTGAAGAATATTTTCCAGTTTGCATTAAGCAAGTCCCATTCACCTGATTTGTCAAACACTGCCAGACACTTTATAAATCATTAGTTTGGGACCAGTAACAACTGCAGAACAGCATGTATGCCCTCCTCACGGCCACACAACTTGCACGCTGCCTTGCACAGGGCTCCTTGTACCTGCCCTGCTTCAAATCAAAGCAAATTGGGCTACTTGTAGCGGTGGCTCAGTCTGGAAGTAGCCCTGACTGCCAGGGAGTATTTGTAAAACAGGATACTTTTAAAATTAGAGCTCCAGATGTAAATCCCCATTACCACTAGAGAAGGGGCATGGCCTGGAGTTGAACTTTGCAGCTAGACCCATCCCTAAATTGGGTGACAAAAGACAGGCTACTTGAAGGAGCAAAGATGAGACACCTTCAGAATACTTCTGGCTTTTATAAAGCACATTACCACACCTCTCCCCATTCCTTCTGGTAAAAATAACAGTAGTTACCTTTCTTAGAAACTGAGATCTACAGCTAAAATTATTACTAAAATTGCTATTTCAAGTTGTCATATTGATGTTTCTTTGACAAAAATTTAGTAACTCTCTTTCCATTTTTAATTTCAAAGTAATTTATTTACCTATAATAATATTTTTTAAAAAAATCACATCCTTCACAGTCAAAATCCATTTAACCATCACCTACATACATGTCTTTATTTTTTTTCGCATTACGAACCTGAGAGAGTAGGTTTTGTTTTTCTTCTCTCTGGAGGGCAGAGCCCCAACTGCTGTAAACTTGGAGCTCCCAGCAACGGTGATTTCTGTATGGCCAAGAGCTGCACTGCCCGTGTGCTTAGAAAGCACCACAGGGATGGGCTGTAACAGGACTTCCTAGTGAATAATACTTTGCTTTTATGATGTCTACAGATGTTCATGCTTGGTTTCAGACTCATATTACCATTCAGCAGGTTCTCCTTCTTGCAGACACAGTGAAGTAGGGGAAAAAGGGGTTTGTCATAAGCAATGTATGTGAGGAAAACCTTGAGTAACTAAAGAAGATGGTCTGTCTTTCCTACTGGCAGAAGATTCTCTTTGCTGTGGCCTTAATTAACAACTGCATTCATTGTCTCTTTCCTCAAAGGTGGTGAGAAGCACGACAGTTCTAGAATATACCCACAACCAAGCAAAAAGTGTGGAATAGTGGCAAGTAAAGGGCATAGAATGAATAATTTTAAGTTTCTCTGAAAGAGCTGCATAAATTACCAAAATAGGAACGCACTTTTCCGTTAACTTTTTGCACTGGTGGATTTTCCCCTCTGTAAATAAGGGGAGAACAGACTTACTTTAAAGAAAAAAGTCTTTCCAAGTATCTATATACATGTATCTTTAGATATGTATGTAATTCCTCTACAACACTAAAAACATAAAAATGTATTTCCTTTAATCCATGCTAAGCTGTAATGGCACTACAAGAGTTAATTATTTAGAACAGCAGGCTGTAAAAGGAATAATGCAGCAGGAAATGTGGAATGCATTATTTCTTTAGTGATCTCTGCTTCCATGGAAACAATTTCTCGGCACAATTCTAAATCTCATAAAAATAGGGCACTAGGTCTATGTAAACCAGCAAGACATTTCCAATTAAACAACCAGAATGCTTTTATCTAGGCCATTAAATACTTTGTTTGGTATCAAATATGATTACCATGTTCATGGGGACGTTAACAACCAGCTACTTCCCTTGCACCGGCTCCACGGGGCCAAACACGCCCCTGCGTGCGGCCAGACGTCCTCAGCTGGGGGCACCATGCATCCCCGTGCCGCCCGCTTCCCACCGCCACAGCATCTCTCTCACGCACAACACGATGTCCCCACCAGGCAGTAACGTCCGGCACACCAAATTCTCTGCTGGCACAGCAGGAAAGAGCTCATCTGGCTCCTGCCACTGGCAGAAATAGAGCTAGAACCAAGCATGCTTGAAGGAAATTTGGGTAATGACTAGGGTTGGTTGAAAAGTAATCTGACAGTCACCTCCAGAATTCACTTGGCCATGAAAACCAAGCTGTTACCTTTCTTACTTCAGCGATCCTACTGCCAGGATTCTCTCTGTGAAAACACTACGGAAACACATTGATCGACCGTCCCGGCATCCCTGGCGCAAAGTGCCACTGGATCCTTTTCTGAAGGAGACTAAGGCGGAGGCTTTGAAAGAACAAATGAAAGAAACAAATCTCCCAGGTACACAGCTACTGCCCATTAACTGAATCACCAGCCAGAAGTTTCTGAGCACTAACAACAGTTTTGCTCTTGGTTCAAACCCTTTTCTCTGCCAGCTGTGACAAAGCTCCCTCTAGTGGTAGCAAACTTGCCTGAAGCACTTGGTTATTGTGACCGCCTTGGAAAAAGTATCAGATGTGACGATGCTCAAGAAACAAGAAGCTGTTACAAACACAGAACACATCCTTCAGGGTACTGCATATACAGCCTTTATTAGCAGACTCTGGTATACCAACAGTCAGGAATATGACAGCAGCAAGCAAAAAGAAAAAAATACTTAATAGCAACAGTGGCAGCGTTTTTTGTTTGGCTGGTTTTGGGTTTGTTTTTTTTTCTGTCTTTGTTCTTTTCAACTGAATCGTTCTTGGAAAGTTACTTATTTAAAAACACAAATAGGCATTCCCCTCCCTTGGAAGACAAGGTGTGTATCCCTGCGAAAAAGCACTGCTGATAACTGGGAAAGCAGAACTTTTCTTGGCCAACAAATGCCCATATAGGATATTTGCCAAAAGGTCCATCTTAGGGGGTTGGGGATTTTTCCTCTTTATTTTTTAAACTGTCGACTCTTCCAGTCTAAACTGTATCATTCTACTTGTTCCTCAACCATTTCCCATCTCCTAAGCAACAACCTGGCAAGGCATAACAGCTGACAGAAAGAAATATTGTGTTAGTCCACAAAACAACACTAACGTGAAAAGAATTGCTGGATGGAAAAAAAAAAGAGCTTGCCAATAAAAATATTTAATGCCTTATATGTGTTTGGTAGCAAACTGGTAGTATTATCAAAATAGTTTTGTCTCCTTAGAAGCATGCAACTTCCAAACTCATATTATTAACCACACAGTCAAAATAAATTATGAGAAGTAGGTTAGATTACTTTCTCACCACGGCTCCTGCCAACAAGTTATTACTTAGCATTACAGATGTGGCATTTCCAATTCACGTACAATGTCTCGTGTGACAGTACTGGATTTCGATGGCACCAGCAGTTCTATTTCCTCTCACACCACCCTGATCATGAACTCTTAGAACATCTGGAGTCTGTGCAGGAATCCAGGGCTCAATATGGCACTGTCTCCTCAGGAGACAAACTGCTTCCAAGCACATTTTACTCAACCATTTTCTTATGTAGCATGCCTTAACTCCAGTTCATACAAGTGTATTGCTTTAACTCGTTTTAATCATTAAACAGAGCAGCAGCCACTACTTGGGTAATACTGACATCCATCCTTACGTGCTTGGAAAGAGACCGTATGTGGACAAAGAACATCACCTACTTCATACTGCTTCTACACAAGAGGTTCAAAATTCTTTCCTACAGATCAGAACTAATTACAGCTTTTAATACACGCGTTTATACGGTGCGATGTTTCTAAAGAGTAACCTACGCAAAACTGCAGAATACCTTTACACTGCAGACCACTCCACAACTAAGTAGGGAAGGAACGCTTTCTCACCAAGAGTGTAGTTTAAACTAGAAATACAGAAAGCCATGCGGTTATTTTTAATTAGGAAATCTCAATAGGACATTTTAGAATATATGCAGACTGAGTCAACATGCCTTACAGAGATGGATACACCAAGTTTGTAAATACGTAGTAGAGGGATCCAAAGCTGGGCACCAGCAGATCTGTACATGGAAGAGAGCAGAGAACATTCACCAATATTCTTAAGTCCACAGCTCCTGCATCTGCCTTGGGAGAATCACCGTGTAGCAAGGGCTCCTATTTCCACGGGATCAGGTTCTGCCCCTTTCACTTAGTAACAGCAAGACACTGACGTTTTATGAGGCATGAGAAAAAAAGGACCGTTAACTGCCTGTAAAGGAGTTCGCTCCTTGGGATGCAACTCTACAATTTTAAAGCTTTTCAAACTCTTTATGCAAATGACAAACTGAAGTTAAAAATGTAAACATATACAATCTTAAATTTCATTTATGTTATGTAGAACTAGATATATACACACATATTTTTTTAAAATAAGTTTTGAGTCCATTATCACCTTTCTAGATATAAACTCAAGGTCTTGCTCGCTTCATGTTTTCAAATATATTTTAGACCTTTCTGAGAAACTTTGCTCAAGATAAATCTGTGTAAATAGCAGTAACTGCATACAAGTCAAGTTTCCTCATGATTTAGAAAGCAAAATTTAAAGCACATTTTTTCGACAGATTCACAGTGATACAGCTCATAAAACATTTCCACGTTGCAATCAAGAAACTTCTCAATTAAGATCAATCTTACAACTACCTTATCTGGATATATTCCTGTATGAAATTATAACCGAAGAAGTGATACAAACCAGCGCGTTTGCTTATTGAACTGCACGTTATAGAGAAGACCCTGAATATAAAAGTTGGTGGGTTTGTTTTTTTTTCTTTAAAAAGACAAATACTTTTCTGCTTGTTAGACTCAGTTTACTGTCAATCAAAAGCTCTTGTTTCCACAGGAAACAGCGGCATTTACAAGTGGACAAATCACAATGATCTGGAAGAACAACATAATATCTCCCTGGAGAATGGAAGATCGCAAACACTGCAACCTGTAATAAGACAGGAGTTATCATTTCCACTGGAAACAAGCACAACCACTGTTGAGAAGTCAAGAGAATTTGCCAGCTTTTTCTCCCCACTACAGAAGCAAGATGGCAAAGACCATGCCAAGAAGCTACTCAACCATAGGGATCGCTGGGCGGGGGCAATACAAAAATTAAAAGATGTATTAAACTACAACTGAATACAACTTCAGACTGGACACCAGGAAAGTTTGGTATCAGTGAGCTATAAAATTTTCATTTCTGTTAAGTTTCTCTTTTGTGAATTCATTCAAACCTGCAGTGTCTATGGAACTAAGGAACAAATTTCTTCTTAGTTGTGTGCCTGTAGATAAAAAATGAGAGAAAATTCCCCAACTTAAAGCCTTGAGAGAGGACAAACTCTCCTTGAAGACGGATGCATGGCATTCTTCTCAGGTTGTCCTTCTTCCCAAATAGCAGACTGCTGGTCAACTAATTCATTCTGTGGCACTCGTTTTCTACAAAATGTTAATACTAAGTGCTCCTTGTGTGTCGGGTCACACAAGTATTTTAAACTGTAACAATAAAATGACACTGGATTCTGTAACTGGTAATAGTTCTGAAAGAGTCGACAAAACGTGGACAAGGGGAAGAAAATGAAAAAATAAAATCAAAACTCTATAATTTTGTTTTGTTAAAGCCATCACATTGGCAATTCATTTGAACATTCATTCTCCTTCTCTTCGGCGTTACTCTTCTCACTCTTGTACGTGGAAAGGAATAAGTTTTCTATCTGAGTCAGGAACTCTTCAGCAATGAAGCAGTTTGTTACCTTGCCCAACGTCTTCCTCATGCACTCCAACAGCTAGTCAAAAGAAAAAGATCTTTTTAAGTTGTCATTTTTCCCAAGTTTCTTTTTTCCGCTTCTAGCTGCTAAGTAATTTAGGATTAACACTGCAGAAAGTGCTCAACTGTACAACATAAATTTCAGAAAGGAACAGCCACACAGGAACACACAGATGACTTAAAACCAAGTCTTTAAAAGCAATTACACAACTGCTAAATTCACGAGTATTCTACCAACTCCATTTTAGGTTTAGGCTGTTTATCAACTCATCGAACCCGGGACTGGGAAGTCCAAACCTTCTCCCAAAAGAGACGCAGTTCTCGACACAAAACACACAACTCGCTGAGAAGAGACCCGATCAACGTGCCATTCATTCTTCTCCAAACTGAGATAAAAACTTGGTATCTGCATGTAACCGTCACCCCCAACTCTCTCAAACGAGCGTCCTGATTGTGCTTAAGCACAATTTGCTTGTAAGTAAATAAACTGCACCATAAGTCATTCATTGTGATTAATTTAAATCTTTGATTTGTAAAAATGTAACTTCAGGTGAGTCCTGACGATACAAAACCGATTTGTATTAAAAAAAAATAATTAAAAAAGCTAAAAGAAGAAAACTTACTTTCTGCAAACAAGTCAGGTCAGAATCTCTATGAAAAATTTTATCCATGGGGACACTGCTGTTGAAAGAAAAACAAACAGCAGCACTGTAGAAAGCAGATACACGTCTCTCTTGGAACATCAATAATAAACATGCAAACATGCCAAACGAGCTAAGCTTTGGAATGGAAGTAGACATATACCTATGGCATAATCTGTATTTTTCAATTATCCATCTTGTTTTTTCAAATATTAATTCCCACTGAGGTTCCTCCAACATCTGCTGCACTTCAAATTTGTAGGGCAGGCCTGGAATCAATTGAACATGATTATTCAGCATTTTGAGTACACAACTTATTTTTTCTTATTTTTATTTAGGTGCAATCCCTTCCTTCCCTGTAACTGTTCATAATTTATTACTGACTGCAGAAGCTTGCTTTTATAATCTTGTTTTTATAACTTAGTACACTTCCGTAGTCTCTACACTTTATACAGTTATTAAGTGAATAAAAAAGTTTAGTTTTTCATGTACGAACTGGCTGATAAGGAAGAATTCCTCTAGTTTATTGCATGTGAGGGAAGAGGAATTTGAAAGTATTCTAGAGGAACATAAGAAAATTACTTGCAGAACACAATTCAGTTACCAAAATGGTGGAGGATAAAGAAAGAGACCGTAAATGTAAGATTTAAAATAAAACAAAACAAAAATTTTCCAAGTTCCTAAGATTTTAAAGAACTGAAACTCATGCTTTCCAGCTAGACCTCAGAGTAGGTGAAAAGAAATCAACTGATACAATTCACTACTTGTACACAAACGTGAAAAAGCGTTTGTTCGGTGCAGAATGCATTTCCAAGAGTGAGAATTAACCTACGGATAGATTTATGCCTCCTGCAAAATATTAATCCTCGTTCACTTGCACAGGACCACAGCACCACTGCCGTGGCGTAACTTTTCCAAAGAGCTAGAGCAGATACCATTCTGTAAAAAGAAACATAAATACCAAATCCTCTCAGACAGAAAAATTATGCAACGAGAAAAAAGTCTGCTTCTAAGGGCAGATCAAGTTTCTAAGTATTTTACCTCCACACCACAAGGGTGGGATGGATGGGAAATGAGGATAAAGTCACGGGACTCTCACTGTTGTAAACAGGAATTATTGCGCAGATGTGGCCTCTGCTTCCCTTCCTGTAGGACCCCGAAGCAAGTCTCCGGGCAGATGGTCTCCCTCCCTTACTTCCACAGGAAAAAACAGAGGGAGAACTGTCGGCTCACACGGCCGCTGCTCCTGCCTTGCCAAGAAAAGTGGGAACCTTGGGAGTCAGGATGCAAAAATCAGGACTCCAACAGGGGGAGGGAGGAGGAGAAGAGGCACCTACCACAGCCACATCCTGTTATCATGGGATTTCTCCTCAAATTCATGTCAGGGAATGAGCAGAAGATCTGATCATCACTTGAAATACTGAAAGTTTTATATGATACGATCTTAACTATTCAAGAAATGAAAACATCCCGTTTCCATGAAATGCTAATGACATTTTTGATCAAGAATTTGTTCTCGTGGGTTGGGATTTGTGCCAGCACACCATTTCATTTTTCGTATCTTTTCTTCTCCTGGACAGCTGGCAAGTTTGATCCCTTGACATTCTGAATGATAAGTTACGCAAATAAGGATTTTTGGCTGCTGTAGCAGCCAGTTCTGTGCTATTACACTTCTGTCTCCTCCATCAGAGGATCTGTTCAGAATTTTGTAATGCAGCAAAGCTTAAGTCATACAGGCAAAGCAGTTTCTCAGCTTTTCACATGGATGTTGTATGTAAATAACTGTCCCAACCCTTTTACTTGATTAATTTCTTAATACAGAAAATCAATCTTCTGTTTATGTTGGCATATTCTTGTCACAACAGCACAGACCACTAGCAGGATTCCTCTTTAAGTGAAGGTTTTGTACAGCATAAGTTACCAACATAAATACATAAATTCCTATTTCTTGAGTTCAAGAATGGACACAGTTTTTCCCCTTAGTATCCGAAAGGGATAGAAAAATGAAGGCGATGACAAAAATATCGGTACTTACGGTACGAACCATCAGGACTGATCTCATCGCTGATTACTAAACAAGTCATCTGAGAATATGGAAGAGGATTATTTCGGTTGTAAGGACTTACAATCATTCCGATAAACATGGCACCACCTCTGGAGAAATAACTCTACAAAAAAACCCAAAAACACACACAAGAAATATAAAGCTTTTTCTGAGTAGCTTTCTGAAATTAGGAAAACCAGAACTTATGTCAATTTATGCATTAACTGATTTTAAGATGCAGTAGAGGAGTAATGTGTATTAACGTTAGAAATACCAGGCAGGCTTTAGGGTTGGCGGGGGTTGTTTTTCGCTATTTGTTTGACCAGCAAGTACCTGGTATTTCGCTTGAGTGTCGATATCTCGTATGGAGGGGTTGGGGTCAAAGGCCGGGTGGGAGTGGTACCACCCGATGACGCTGTACCCCCTGGCAGCCAGCGTTTCCGAGGCCTGCGTCTGTGACACGGGATCCATCTCGCACTGCAGCCCTGTACTCAGGCTATTGCACGGCTCTGCTGCACAAACCTGTTAAAAAAAGTCTCCAGCTGGATAAATGCAAGAAATTTTCATCGGTTAAAAAAAAAAAAATTATGAATTTTAAGAATCATAAACTAGGTGTTCCTCATGATAGAGCTGACAGGCCAATGCTTGAACATAAAGATAACTCTTAACATTTCAAGACTACAGAAACTAACCTCAACTTAAATACACTTTAAGTAGCTGCCCTTCAGAAATAACATTTATATCTACAAAGATTAATGTATGTTATTGTATCAGTTTTCATATTTTAGAGAAAATGTAAAAAGATAAACACTTACTTCGACAATTTTATTGGCTTCAGAGTATCTTCCGCCTAACAGCCCTATTACTTCCGCCATAGACACGTGAGAGTGCTAAAATGATAGTAAACAATTATTAAAGTCCAAGCTGTACCATCTCTCCTAGTTTTGCTCTGCACACAGCCGAACACATTGGCTGCACAGCTACAGGTCAGTAATTCTCAATAGCATTTAGAAGGAAAACTCTGGACAGCTACAGATTCTCCCACACCCAGTGTAAACACCCATCTAAAGCAGACAGAAAAACTGATGTTTGGTTATCAGATACATGTGCACGCCTGTAATGTGTTTGTGGAACATTTCCGTACATGAAGCAACGCTAGGTGCAAAATTGGAAGCGTGTGCTATGCTGTGCAGTGCTGAGCCACTGCACCAATTTTGGTACAACCTGTTATTCAAAGAAAAAAAGAAAAATACAAAAATAAATCAAAATCACACATTGCTTTATAAACACAAAATCAACTCCTGGACTAGTAGAAACAGAAGACGTCTGGTTTAGAAAGTACCTTTAAGCAAATTATATTTAAAGTGTGCTGGAGAGCAATAAGCACTAACACTCATTAGTTTTTCTAGAAGGTAAATGGTCGTACACTAAGCACAATATAGAACAACCAGACATTAATCTTTTGAGGCTTTATCAAACACTAGGTTCTCACTTGTAGGTCTGAATGGAAAGAAGTACTGTATTTCTCAATCTTCTTATGTTGCCCATTAAAAAAAACAACAAACAACAAACAAAACTCACAACGTACACATCACAGCTTTCTGAAAGACACAATTTAATCCTTACCAAATCCATTATTAAAAGCGCTTCAGAAGACACCTTCACCTGAAAAGGTTCCTGAACGGATAAACACAATAATGAATATAGGAAAGTAATAAAGCAAGCAATAAAGCTTTCGTGATTATTCACTCATAGGGACATACCTGTTTTTCTTCAGTGAATAAACAGCACGGTATCAGCTGAAAGGGATCAAAGGAACTATAAAATGAAAGAAAATGTCTCTAAAGAGACTGCAGGACAATCAGGAAACTTTTCAGGTTTCCCACTGTCTCTTTGGCACAGGAAGAACAACTTTGTTTTCTTTACTGGATTTTCTCATCCAACACTAGGATGACTCCCACCAAATAGAGAAATTTCACTGCCCACACTTGTGAATGTCAGAATGAAACATTTTAAAATACAAACATGTTACTTCAGACCATGTTACCTACAACAGATTTGCAGTGCTCCAGCCTGACACTATACAAGGAATATTTTTCGTTTCTACAAGATCAACATTTGAACATAAAGTACATTGAGTAATACCTTTTTGTTTGTCTTGAACCTTTAGAAGACTTTGCAGGCTTCAGTTTTTCCTCCTCTCTTCTTCTTGCTAACTCTTCAGCAGACAGATGCTAAAAAGAATTTCAGAAATGAAATTTGTCTTAATGTCTCCATTCATCATTACTCTGCCAGTAACGATCCTAAAACCAGGCAAGAATAAATTCTTGACATCAGTGTCCTCTTGACAGACTATCAATTTTTGCATGTTATAGGACTACTCAAGTCAGAGAGAAACAGCCACAGCCGCAGCAAGTGGTGTGAAAGCAAGGCCAGGCAGAGATCTAGTCCACAAGATGCCTGATGAGAGAATTCTTATGTTCTCTTAGTCAACCAAATTCAGTAAAACCACAGCCCCTATTGCAAACCAGGCATAAATGCAAGTGCAACTAAGGAGAAAATCAGCCATTGCAATCCATAGCCAGAATTTATCAAAACATGTTTTTAGGGATGAGTGTTTTCAAACTTTATTTCCACCCAAATATGCATTTTTCAGAAAGCACTGGAATTATTAACCACAGTTACTCAAAAATAGGTATGGCATTATAAAATTATGGAAGTAAGTGTCACAGATATTTATTACTGAAGGTTGCAAATTTAATTTGGTTTCTATACAAGAAAAATAGGATGTTAAAGTTCTTCCTCTGTTGTATAATTCAAAATCATAGGAATAGACAAGTGGATATTTTCTTCCCAAGTCTTCTATAAAATATTTAAACTTGTATGAACTTTTCTAAGCACTTTGTACATCACAGTATTTCTGGGGATATTGCTAGCAGCATAATTATTATTAGGAACTCGTTATCACCTGCATTGTAGGCACAAAGAAAACACAGGACTGAAAAAAAATTATTAAATCTTATTCTCCTACTCGCTACTGTTTGCTTTAGTAAGGCAGCTAACTGCAAACTAAGGGTCATGACATCTCCTACAAGACCAGGCAAAAAGCTTTATGGGCCCAAAACAAACGTAGGGCGATACACTCACAACTGCAAACACCAAAATTGTATTTATCAGCAGCATAAAGATGTAACAGCTGCTCCATTTATTTTCAAATCGCTGCTTCTGCAAAGAGAGGTTCCCATTTACTATCCCACAACTGTTTCCCTCATACGTTTGATGCAACACTGCCTGCTAGCACTTGGCAAGAATTAATTCTTTGAGGAAAGTTTAAAACACAGCAGCGTTACCTCAAATGTCTGTCCTTCCAAATCCTTCGCATCACACCAGTTCCCCCAAGGGTCTCGCACTCGCCGTCTTCTTGTCCGCTGCAGCAAGCAAATCAACACAGGTCAAGGCTATTACTCCTGAAAAAATTTCCTTTAATCAGCCATAAGAACATTGTCCAAAAGGTTACTGCCACGTCAGTGTAACTATAACATAGTTCCAGAAAAGAAAGAGCACCCTGGAGTTCTGTAGAATGAAATAGTTCACAATCTGTCATGAAATACCATCAGTGAAGTTTGCAGTTTTTAAGGCTGTAAAGCACAACACCCGGCTGATGTTCCGTGGAGCATCAATACCCGACAGCAACAGTGCGCTACTATCCAGCACTGAATCATCGCTCGGGCAATACAAAAAGCTATAAAACCAGTATGCTTACATGTAGTGTATGCTACAGTTCTTTATAGTTCAATATATGTGCTTTTCAGTGAGATTGATTTAGTTTTCCTCTCATCAACTGATTTATTTTGTTGTGAAGTACTTAAAAAAAATGCTACATTAAATGTGAATATGAAAAATAAATCTGGCAAGCCTTGGTAATTCACGGAGTTACAAATGAGTTACTCCTGTACTTAATTGTGTGCACAAAGCTCGCAGTATGCCATATCCTGTACCTACGATACTTAACTGTTAGCATGCAAGCAACTTAATCACCCACTACCAACCCACTGCACTATTTTCTGGCTAATTAATTACAGAGGAGGGCAGGAAGGGGTTGAAGCTGCAGGGAAAAGACTGAAACAAATCGTAGTTAAGTCCCTGAACAGAAATTGGATGTCTGAGATAGCAGAAATTTGGGCGGACCCCTGTCAGATACCAGAACTCAGACTGACACTCCAATCACAGAGCATTCTAATAAAACTGCGACTGAACAAGAGGAGAAATTTCCAGACGCTGTAGCTCTGAAATGAAAGACCTGCTCCAGGAGCGTCTTCTAAATGTTTTTCCTGCCCCCACCTCCCCCACCAAAACTTACCATGGACTGCAAGCGCTGAGCGAGCTGGTAGGCTTCCACGGTGTCTTTGCCTTCTTTGGACCGTGTTTTATCAGCTGGTTGGGGTCGGTTATAGACAGCCTGTTCTGCAAGACACAGAAGAGAGATAACCTGCGCTTCACTCAAGTATGAAGCCACTTATTACTGGTACAGGGCCAAGAATGACACAGGTAAGTGGTAACAACAAATGCCATAAAGAAAAAGCCAACAGCAAAAAGAACCCACAGTGAAAAGACATCTCTTGATGGTCATATTGCTGACCGGTTATAGAGCCCTCTACCACTGCATTTTAAGACAGGATAACCTCCTTCCTTATTGCTAATTTATTTTTAATGACTTTTACTTCAGACAAAATGTATTTGCAGGATGTTCCTCCTCTCCTAGGTGACTGTCATTCAACTTCAGACCAAAATCAATCCAGAGAGACTACACCAACAGCTTATAGGTACATATTCACTTTTTAAATGGTACCTGATTTTAACATTTGCATCTTGTCAAAACTACCCCCAAGGATGAAGACATTTTTTTTATTTAGGAAATACTTATAATTCAGTATAGGAAAAGAAACGATAACTTGAATTCTGTCTCACATAGAGAAAGGGTAGAACTTCAGACGGAGGAAGTGTCAGGTAACAAAGTCAAAACCGGAACACACAGGAAAAAAAACCCACCCCCAGCAAGTGTGGGGTAAACATGGCAAGCAGGGAAGAAGAAAAACAAATAAAAGGTCTTGTGTAAAACCAAAAATGCATAATCCTGTAAGCAGGTTACAAACTCCTCTAGATTTTCAAAGGTCATGAGAGAATCTGCTCGGAAGGTCCTTCCTGGTAAGGATTAATGTGTATCCTCCCGTGTGAACACCATTAAGTACTCCTTCACCATTAATACCTGAATAGGCTACAGCCACATAGGCTGGAACACGGCTGACTATACTAAACACAGTCCAAACAGAGATCCTCTTCCACAGAACTTAAATAGTAATTGTTGTAACTCTATGTAAGACATAGAGTACAGAGAAGCTGGAACATTACCCACATGGATGCTTGATTCTGGTTAAGTGCAGTCATCCTCAGTTGAATGAAGCAAACTTACATTTCTATTAAAGACACATCTCCTAACCATCATGTTTAGCCTTCACATGAAATCATTCGTTTTAATAAAAAAAGCTGACAGTCACCAATAGATATGTTCAGCATGTACAGATTAGAATTTAAATTCCAAATTGATTACAATAAAAATAACCATACCGCAGCCAAAGTTAATCGCTCCTATTAATTCCAAATACGTGTGGATCCGTCCAATGCAGTTAACATCACCGCAGTTCTTAAGGCCTGGACGTACTGAAGTTTTATTCAGGTATTTGGGTTTACATCTCTCCCTAAAATAAAGTGTAGCACATTGTCAAACAGTTAAAAAAATCAAGGGGGAGGAAAAGATTGTGTAACAAGCTGAGGTTAAGATGAGCCACTGAAATTTCCCTCCGTGATACGCAAACTACAGACCACTATGAGAGCAACAGAAACTTCACAAAAGACACAGTGTATTTTAGACTTATTTTTACACACTTATGCAGAGTGAAACATATGTTCCGTGCATTGAAACAAACTCTTCAACACATCTGGCGCCAGGTAGCAATCAATTACTCAGAACTATGATATCGTTCAATGGATACAAGAACATCAGCGTTAGATTAATCTAAATACCTCATATAATCATAGGCTCCCCTGGCGTAAAACATAAGCCTGATTTCACTCTCTACACACTTATCTGTTTTTACATTGATGTGAATTGTTTCAGTTCAACACTTCTCTGGTGCAGAATTTTATAACTTCTCTGCAACTAGAATAAGCTGTCAATACACAGGACAACGGAATGAAAAGAGAGTTAAACTCAGCAATTCCTTCTAGTTAAAAGCAAGCTAACCAACACAAAGGATCAGCTTGTTCTGATACAGGACACTCATTTTCATGCTGCTTCCAAGTATTTCTGTTGCTTAGCTTCCAGAATGCCAGAAAAAAACAACAGGGAAGACACAAAAGAAGCATTAATAAACAGTGCTGTTCACTGCCAACCTTTGCAATACTACCATAAAATTAATCTTCCTCTTTCAAAAGTAACCTATTAGCACTACGAAGTGTTTTAACTAAAAACAAAACAGGTCATGAGTCATCTTAATCACTTATTTCCATAAATGAAATTAATGCATCTTACCATTGATCCAAAATATAATTCCTAATTTTCAAATAACGCTCGGGTGTTTTGGCCTGGCGCCCTTCAAAGAACTCAGGAATAGCTTGTTTTTCTTCTTCCAGAATGATGTTTCTGTCGACTTCCACTTCTTGATCGGGTGGCTTAAGCTCCTCTGCTTCTTCTTGATGATCTTCATCCACTTGGCAGGGAGGAGGAAAAAGCAACCCATTATCAGCCAGGTCTCTCTGTTCCTCATTAGGCTCCTGATGAGTTACTTGTCTAGCACCCTGAGCTGTTACTTGTCTGCCTTGTTCAGCTTTCTCAATAAAGTTATTGTGTTGCTGGTAATCTAAGGTCACAGATTTATCACCGTTCAGGTGCTGAGAACACGTTGCTGCAACACCTGGAAACACCAATGCATCCACTGGCTCTTGCTTGGCATGTTGAGGATCTTCTTTCGGTAAAGAAATTGCAGAACTATGTCCAACAGATGAGAAAACATGCTCCATTCCTTTCATTTCTTCAACTGGACTTTTTGAAATAACAGTTAATTCAGATTTTCTAGTTTCTTGCTGGAAGGCAGGAGACAGTTCATCCATGTCATCAGTTATGTCTACTTCTTCATCATCTGACAGCTTTTCAATTTTGACCGCATTCAGATTGGGGTCTGCATGGCCTCTCAAGCTTCCAGATGACCACGCTTCTGCCCTTATCTCATCTTCAACGGGAACATTGCTCCCACACCGACTTTGCTCTTCTTTTTCAGAATCACCGTTTTTCGCCTTAGGAAAATATAAAACACTTTAAGGAGGGAAAAACAATCCCCTTCTGTCTCCCAGAGTCAGAACTATTTTACTTGACCAGCAAACATTCTGAAACGTTTCTTCCTCATCTTTTAATACATTTTAATCCACTGCAATTGACTTTGATCCAGCATTACAGGTATACTCATAGCCCAAGTGTAAATTAACATATTTTTCTCTTTTAAAAAAAACTTAAGACAATAGTAATTTCTTCTTAAATGCCCCCAAAGCCTCAAATGAGGCTAAAGCTAAAACTACAACATGCAGCTGAACACTGTACAGTGGAAAACAAGTGTTTTCAGAGTAATAACCAACAATGCAAGTGACTACAATTATACTGCATTTATTGTTTATTTATACGAGCAATAAAAATACTGAAGCCGTCCTAGAAATTTGAAATCAGGCCTGACTTCATATTTAAATCTGCAAATAAGCATATTCCACTTTTCTGAATATGGGAGTAAAAAGAGTATGTACTTTAACAGCAAAACTCTGAAAAGACAGATAAAAATCAAGCTACATATTTGTCATCATATTTGGCATATTTGTTGAACAGCCTCTTTTGCTAACTACAGACATAATTCGTCTACCTTGTTCTTAAAATACTGCCGAGCATAGCTCTTCACTTGTAGAACAGTACGACTTCCAATCAACTTGGCAATTTTCGTCCACCGGCGGCCAAATTTCACCTAGTACGAAGCACATCGAAGTTATGCAAACTCTGACATTCCGGACAAGGCACTTAATGAGCCAAGAGTTTAAAATCTCAGTTATTCATTACAAGTGCACAACAAATAGTACAGCAAACTCACAGTAAAGAATCTCACTACTCACATGCTACCAAGAAGAAAATGACATCCAACAATAAGTTATCATCATTCTTAACTAAACGATTTTCTTCACCCAATTCAGGCACACTGCAAATTACACTGTCTACTAACCCAGGGAATCCTGCCCAAATGAATTTGTACTTGGTGAAGCAAACACTATTACAGTCAGCACTGTGGAACCATATAATCTCTAAAGACCTTAAAATAGTCAGGGATTTCTCTTTATTAGCTGATTTGCCTTAAGCACACACTACACTCCCTGTAGTTAACTACAGTATTAAGAGTTTACAATTCATAAAGCTGTATGTTTGAGATTGCAAATTGTAATTGGCCTCACAGAAACAAAATCTGGCCAAGAACAGCATTTTGGGGGATTCATCAATATACATCTGATTTATCATTACAATCTTAGCAGACGGCAATTATTTTTAACACACTAGAAGTATAAAAGCAGATGAAAATGACACGCTTATTTATAAGATTATTTTGTTATTCAAGATAAACTAATGACTTCTATTCAAAACATTACATTTATAAACAAACTTACCAGCCCTTGTTCAAACAGCTCTTTTTCTTCTGATGTCCACTTTAATGAGTAGCTGGCTGATTTTGTAGGTGATCGCATCCTAGAAAAATATGAAAGAGAAGTTAGTGCTTTCTTAAAAATATCTATTCTCAAATCCCAGTAACTGAAGGCAACTTCTGACATGACGACTACTCCTCACCTTCAGTAAAACTCAAGGTATTGTTTTAAACATGAACACAAGTGATACATAAAATGTTGAGAATTGTGCCAGCTTCTCCATCACAAAAACAAGTCTGAAGGCAACACAATACTCATCAGTAATTAACGGTACAGGAATATGTAAGAGAAGCAAACAGAAAAGTTCGGGCAAGAAAGCTGACTAGAATTAACAGGGTTCTTTTCTTCGTAAGGACCACTGTGCTACAAAAACCAGTTTCCTACAGGTCTATTATTATACAGAACCATATTTCTTAACCCCACTAAATAATTTTGCACAGCCAAACAAAAGGAACTAAGGAATTTTAGTTGATTTTTTAAAGAATGCCTGGTAACGTAACAAAAATCGGAGCCACACTTAAAAATGTAACTCAATCATTAAAATGTACGTACATGACTTTTCCAGTTTTCTTATGTGGGCTGCAAATAAAAAACAAAGTGAAATAAAAATTAGTAATTGTGATGCTGCTGAATATCTCAGCAAATCAACTATTTTGGAAGCACTTCTCATTTCTTCTCAACTGAGATTTTTTTCCCAGAACACAGCTTACCTTTTCATAGACCTTTTCTCCGCGTCCTTCTGACTGAGCCATATTTTTTCAGAAAGTGATTTATTAGATAAGTAATATCTGAAATTGTTACTAAGTAAGTTTTTGAAGCATCAGAGTATTTGTACACATGGAAATTCTAACAATCATATAAATTTTACTGGTTCGTAATTATTCAGCTCTAGAAGTAATTTCCATTGCATTGATACTTTACCTATTTTCAAATCAAGGAAAACTTTAATTGGCTTTATTTTCAGTCCCCTGTTACTATAACCTGCTTAGTCTGTGAGGTCAGCTTCTGCCAGAAACGCTACTACTGGTAAGACTATTTAAGGCAATGCTGCTTATAAAGGAAAAAAAAGGCAAGAAAAAAAAAGCAGCAGCTGTTCCCTCCGTTTTTGTCTTGTGTGCTCTTGGAAGGATGAACGTAGCAGACAAAATCAGACAGTAAACCAGTCCAAGTGAAGGCCAATTCAGCAAAAAGAACTAGCTATTTTTAGCCAGATCAGCTGTTTGATCGGGTTCACCACGAAGTCACACAAACGGCTGCGTCAGCACGATGCTGGAGGTGGCACTGAACAAGCAGCTGAAGCGGCGATGAATATCGCTATTTTTGGTGCCAGTGCCAGCTTACATCCGACAAGCTTTTTAGAGCGATTTTGTGAAGAACGTGAAGCACTAGAGGAAGCTGCAGGTAGCTAGGTGATTAATTCCTGGGATTTCCTCGATTTCTGCAATCCACCTACAAGGTGATAGTGCTTTGACCACCTTAACAAGAAAAGGCACATCCAGTTCCTTTGGCAACATGATGTTTTCTGTTGTTATGCAGGAAAACGTACAAGCAAGTCAGCAAAAAGGATACTCTTCTTCCAGCAACATTTTCTCAATGACAGCCCTGTTTTCTTCACTAATGCTGCTGTCCAGCGTCCATGGCTGCAAACAGTACAAATATGTTTAAATATCTGAATTCTGTCACACTGTTACTTAAGTATCATGAATCATATACAATAGTTTCTAAAAATAAACTAAAAACATCAATTAAAAACATAAAAGAGCATGCATCTGGAGGAAAGAGAATGGAGAAAAAGTTCTGATAACCTTGCTAGAAGTACCATTCATTTAAAAATACTTACAAGACTGTTACCAGTTCTCCAAGATGAATCAAGGTAGTGGTCTTGCAGCAAGCTTGAAGCTGAGTTCTCATGATCGCTGAAAAAGATTCCAGTGTTCAAAACAACACAAACACAGTCAAAGAAAATTAGTGCTGCCAGTTACAAAAATGGTCTAGTAAATAACAAAAACATTAACTAAAGATGCAGAATTAGCTAGTATAACTAAAATAATATATTGCAGGCTATCATACAGTGTTCCCTTCTTACAATATTCCATTTGACATAGCATAAATCCCCTTCAGTAAGTCGTCTTTCTTAGTAATCTCAGTAGCATCTCCACATCTATTTTGTTGCACATTGTACGTGATGTCAGTGAAACCCTGAACAGCAAAAATTCTCTTCCAGATCAACTGAAAGCAGGAGGGACCATGTAAAAGGTACACAAGTGAAAGAAATCAGAATTTTATGGACAAATAAAGAACTACATTTTTAGCATTAAAACTGTCACGGAGTTATATTATCTACACTTAATATTTCTCCATCTTTCTCCATCTTTCCCCGTCTTTCCCCAAAGAAGGTAAAAATACTCCCCTATCAAGAAAAAAAAAGTTTTCCTCCTGAGGAAAGCTCATGCTCACATAAGGTTTACTAGACTCCTATCACAGTTAGTGCTCTTATGGACTTCATCCTGATCCTTTCTGTGAACAGCTACTTATTACTTTTAGAAATCTGTCACTTGTCAACATCACTGATCAACTTCTGTTTTAATGCAGCATAAAACCTCCTTAGCATAAAATCTTACATTAGTAATTAATCTGGGGGGTTTTTTTGTCATTCTTTGCTTCCAGAACATTCAGACTTTTCTAAAGACTGATTAGTCTTCATCCCTTGCAATACTACTAAAGTTAAACTCACCTACTATTCTGAACTGCTTTGTGCCAGCAGCTCAAACCTCTCCTTACAGGTAAGGATAATTCCTTATGTACATCCAGAAACCAGTAAAACTCATGGGTTGGTTTGGAGCATATCAAGAAATGGGTCAGACCAATACTCCCCTTTTACCCCCTACTCTACAACAGTAGCAACAGCAGATGCTCCGCTAGGGCAGCATGCAAGTCTGGCCACTGTCTCTGACACAATCCTCTCCTACTCTCCCAGAACCTGCAGTTGCTAGACTTGTAGTGTCCTGCTGCCCATTTACTTCACCATCTATTTCACAGAATCACAGGATGTCAGGGGTTGGAAGGGACCTCTGAAAACCATCTAGTCCAACACCGCTGCCAGAGCAGGGTCACCCAGGGCAGGTCACACAGGAACACGTCCAGGCGGGGTTTGAAAGTCTCCAGAGAAAGAGACTCCACAATTTCCTTGGGCAGCCCGGGCCAGGGCTCCGGCACCCTCACAGGGAAAAAGACTTTAGCTTGAACCTCCTGTTTTCCAGTGGGTGACCAGTGCCCCTCATCCTGTCACTGGACACCCCTGAGAACAGCCCGGCCCCATCCTCCGGACACCTGCCCTTTAGATATTTATAAGTTTCGATGAGCTCGCTCCCCAGTCTCCTCTTCTCCAGGCTAAACAGACCCAGAGAACTCCTTATCCATGAACTTGTCGAATCAGTCTTCTAGCTCTCCCTGCCTTCGCTCTTCTGAACCCACTTGTGTCCGCAGGCTCGCCACCGGTTACGCAACACGCTATCTCCT